CGTATTATATATGGGGAATTACTGAATCGGTACAAGGAACCGAACATTTCCTTGCATCTTTAGGGTTGAATCGTATGTATGGTTTCCACTTGCGGTATGGGTTGAGTTTAGGTTTCTATAATTGCTCAGGGCACTGAAGGAACATCCGTTAGTCGTGATAGTTCTGGGTTCGATTGGCAATAATGGAATGTAATTAGTTCGGATTTCGAGGCATTGAATGTAACCAGACACTTTTACCCCCATTGATAGGGTCAAAGGAGGGACAGCTGCTTGATGAGGTTGAATTTGGGACATATATTTCCCAATTATTACACGTCTCACTTGCTAAGTCTATATTCGACCAATGATTACGTTAGCATTTTTGCTGTGTCAATATTAACCTTACTTGCAACAGTTTTATTGCTGCCAAGATATCACCCCTCCTTGAATATTGCTTTCTATTCTCATATTTTAATGTAGGGCTATAACTTCTATGCGAGAATAATCTTTGAGATGTTAGGGTACATTAATTTGAAACATTTTTGACAGGGAGGGTAATAGCTTTGAAGCTTAGGAAAGAATTGTCTTGCAAGAGAATACTCCTTACTTTAAAACTTCTTGGTCTTAAATTAACCTTCGAAAATCATTTTCGGAAATTTGGGGAAAAACTTCCAGTATGTCAGCATTTATGGAAGCACTAGCATCAATATTGATAGTAAATATAATTTTACTGTCTACAATACTAGCTACCACAAAAAATTATTGGCTGTTGTTTTCTAAGACGACTAAGGATGACGACTTTCATGAAAGACCCTGCAATAGGCACCGGTTTCAATTAAATCTAATGCAGCTCTACACTCGTCTCTTAAAAGAAAATATAGTCGAAAAGCTTTTCTTATGTACTTCTTCGCTCAACACCTTTTTCTATTTCTGGTGCTTGCTTGAAGAGGATAGTTTATCCATTTACATGTATTTAGCCAGTGTTCCAAATATGCTATATCTTTTCTACTTAGATTTGTAATATGAGGTTCTGATCAGTCAAATTTTATTGGTTATTATAACTAATCTGTCTTCGATTCTTAATGTCGGTTATTTTCTTGTTCTTAAGTTTCAATTTCATTTTGGATTGTCCCCGCGATTTCTGTTATGCATTTTCTGTATTTCCAGGGTAGCGTTCACATTTACGTCTCAATAACTTAGTTCTTTTTTTGAGGTTGTATCTTACAAGCCACGGCAATGCTTATCTAAATGAAATTAAAACGTGTATGTATGTATATATATCTAGATTTAACCTATTGCACGGTTCCCACTACCCATCAATTTTTTTAACAGGAGTAAAGATTTATACCTAATTTCGTGTTTAGGATTCTATTTTCGGTTTTTTTTTAAAGCCTACTCATTCTATTTCACGCTCTGTAAACCCTTGCATCTTAGCGACATAATCGGTTTGCTTGGGGTGAATTGATTATCTATTTATCTATATTTCTATATTTTTCAGGATATATATACACACACACAGATATATATATATATATATATATATATATATATATATATATATATATATATGCCGATTTGAATTTAAATCATTGACTTGCTGTGACGGTGTATATTTCATTTTTATTTCAAAGCTTTTACAAGAGAAATTATGCTTAAATGACATGCTATAATTATTTCAGTAAAAGTCTAGTGTCATATTTTAAGAAAATAGCTGTTCAAAATCTTTTTTGCATTCTGCCTTTCCCAGTCGCGTCTTAAAATGGTACCACTCCTGGAAATCAGCTGGCTTTTCTAACATTAAGAAATATTTGTAGATCAATGTAAATCAATGTAATTTTTTTTTAATCTTGCATGAGAAAATCCATTTCAGTTTTAAAATATTGTCTGCAGACTGTCATGTGATTTCTTTGACTCTGCCTTTCTATCTCACAAACTACCTCTCTAGATTTTCTTTTCATTTTTTTTTTATATTGGGCCTGTGAATTTACAATGATACACACTATGAAATAATCCAAGCTTATTGTGAAAGCTTGGACCATATCTTTCACCGTTAAACTACGTCTTCATTACTCGACTCAATCCAACTTTAGTATTATAAGAATAGAAGTCTGGAAAAGTTTTAAAAGAAGGGCTAATCATGAGCACAAGCCTTTTCAATTATTTCTGTTTTATATAGTTTGTTTTTTGTTCTTTTTCACTTATTCCATTTTTTATCTGCTGCACGAGTTTTTTTTTTTTTTATTATTTATTTATTTGAGTTTCTTATGGAGGAAAAGTAACTTTTTTTAAAAAGTTTTATTGTGGCATCAGAAAAGGGCTGAACAAGACTCCTTCTGGAGGTTGGCTAATATTTGTCTCGTATTCAGCGAAGACCTCTTTTACAACCAGCCAATGTGCGTGATGGACGGTACCCGGAAACCTCCGGGCGGGAAATGGGAGACAGGTCGAGAGGTAGGGAGGTAAGAACGGCGCAAAAGAATGAATGTAAGATTACTTGTGTCTGCATACACGCAATTAGAATCTCATACGTGGACTCCAACTCAATTTGTTTTTATATATATGTTTTTTTTTTTTTCATTGCTTCACATTTTTTTATAACTTTTCTTCGATCCTTTTCAAATCTGTCTCAATTTGACGACCGACCCAACCACTGTCGGCAGACTATTCAGCCAAACTTAAATTATTTTGATTCAGGCACGCATATACTGTCCTTAGCACACACACACACACACACACACACACACACACACACACACACACACACACACACACACACACACACACACACACACACAGATACAGAGTGTGAAATAGACACACACACAGATATATATATATATATGTATAAAAGTATCGAATGATATATATATATATATATATCGAATTACACACACCACATATGTATCGAATTACAATATATCAAATTACATATACATGCATATATATATGATATGTCTGTATAATATATATGCATATGTATATATATATATATATATATGCATATATATATATATATATATATCATAAGAAATTTTACAAGGATATATATACCGAATACGTATTAAGATATAAATGGGAGTATTGATCGTAAATTCCTTAATCTCTTTATTCAGATGTGCTCCCATCTAATCAAATGGCGAACAATATCCTGAAATACACATGCCCGCTCCCCCATACACGCACACGCACAGACACACATATATATATATGCGTGTGTGTTTGTGTGTAAGGGAGATACTTTCTTATATAGACATCACCGATACAAATAAATGTACATTTATCATATACATTTATCCTTTGCACACTTGTGTACACACTACTTGTCATAAGTATCTGAATAGACATTTGGCTTCTCATCGATTAGTTTTGAGAGTAATATCAAGAGCTTACGCAAGAGGCACCATATTTCGTTGCCAGCAACGTAACAAGATATGCATTTTCTCATATACTTCTGATTCCGACAAACACTTTTTATAATCTAAATGAAGAAGATTAAAACTAAGGTTCTCCCAAAGATTTCAAATTTTCCTCAGTTTCGAAAAATGGATTTGCAAAGATGAACCGACATTGCTATTACCAAGCAATTTGGATTAGCCCTTTTTGAAACCCTAAATGTTAATATTAAGTGTGATATGAGCCGTTCTCGGAAATATACAGAATACATTGACAGAAGAGGTAGCATCCTCTCCGTTGAAATTTATGAAAATCTTTCTCTTAAAACAGACTTTCATGGAAATAGGTTTTAAATTTTTAGTTTATCTGGAAAGTTAGCATTTACTTTATATCTTTATTTTGCGTTCTAGTTACAAGTGATTCTTTAGGTGTTTGCCGCTGTTTGAAGTCTTCAATTGATGTGTATTTGTTTTGTTTTTTTGTTTTTTTCTGTTTCTCTTGTGGCAGACTCGAAGATCCGCCGAAGGCGAGTTCTCTTCAAGAATCCCCGGGGTTCATTTGCTTGAATAGACCCTGTAATCTTAAGCAATAAAAGCAGATTGTTTGCTTTTTTTTTAATAAATAATTGTCCTATAGAAACCCTTTCTCATAATATTTCTTAAAAGTTATGTTTCTTTTTTATAGAGTACTTTTAGAAAATGTCCCACAAAAATAAAACATGAAGTCAAAAGTCTAGTTTAAATAAAACGCAGGGTTTTCTCTTACCTAATACCCCAAAAGTTTGTCATTTATTATTCCAAATATGTTTAATTATTTATTTTACATTAACACCATTTTTTTCCGAAAATCGCTTTCACTTGACAATCACGACAAAAATAATATGAAAATTCCAATACTTTACAACTTTTAGAGAAAATGTGAACAAAAAGGACACTTATATTTAATATAAGAAAGCGACAGTTGAAATTTCTACGGCAAATAATGAGGAAAGATGGTTTAGAAAATGTGACATTCACTGGACATATTGCAGGCAAGAAGGTCAGAGGAAAACAGCACATGAACTAACAAACGAGCTTGTTTTGTGTAAATGGACGGCAGAACAGGTTTTAGGAGAGATAGCGAAAAGAAAAAATTTAATAAGAGCTACTAAAGATTGAAAAACTGTGGATAGGAGTGATCACTAACGCCCTGAAGCAGCATGGTGTATAAAAGAAGGCGGAGTCAATGCTATGCTCTAGGGCTGTATCTCTACTTTGGGTTTTTGCTTGATAATAAGACATAATGCACAGTACAAAACCAAAACCAAATTAAACATGTAGTAGTAAGCGGTATTCAGCTAAATGTCTGTGATCATTATTATCAAGAATGATTCTGTTCTTGCCTAATTTATTTGGCAATCAATAGATAACGTCACATCTGCAATTCTTTCGCATTTTCTCTTGAAATTTTGCTTTCTTATTTGGCAATTTTCGTCTGTTAATTATTTTACAAATTTTGGCTTGTTATAATTAACTTCGCGTAATTCTGCTTTGTGTCGTCCACAAATCCCAAGATAGCCGAGTCAGCGCAATTATACCCCTCCTCCTCTTCTCGCATCGCCTATTACCGTGAAAGCTTACGGACAAATCGCACGGAAACGCCGGTTCTCCTTTGATCACCGAAGTTAAGCAGTGTTGAACCCAGTTAGTACTTAGGAGACCACTAGGGAGCACCGGATACTATAAGTGAAAAACCGGGTACAAAACCGCTTGGGCATGAGGCTAGCGATTTCATGCGATCCCGTAAAACCTTACTTCCTATGAAAACCACAGCAGCAATGGTAATGATAATAGTAATATTAGTCGTTTCCTTATAAGGAAACATTTGGCATTTACTGAACGAGCAACCAATACTACAGTTGAGTGAAATTTATATAATCTCTCTTAAATTATTTTTCTCGGGAAAACAAGCTTCTCAAGACCAGTAGCTTTTACCGATTTTTCCAGTATTGATGGGATTTGTATTCCTAACGTCTTGCCTAGTTTTTCTGTGGTCTCATGCTTCTCAGTGAAGTGTATGGGGATAAAGAAGACGGAGGATAAGGACTACCTTCAAAATTCTGCTGCAAGGCTTTGCCATCAACGGTGGCTTTCCGTTACTGATATTATTATGTATGTTCAAAGGTTCCCAGCGATATCATTTTTATCAAACTAGATATTGAATACACAAGAGATCAACTAATTAAAAAGAACAAAAAAAGCTGCAAACCTTAGTCCATATATATTATTTTATTCCAAGAAAACATCTCGAAAATTTTACTGTAGAACGAGTAACGTCTTTTGCTCGTAAATCTGCACACCATTTCTCAGTATTCTCGTAGACACGAGATTTTCCACGACCTGGATAGTCTTAAAAACCTCGTTGAATATTTTTTTAATCCAATCGAGTTTCTAGTGATTTTTCCAGAGTTCTATCAACATGAAAATAACATAGGAGCGGTTCTGGTCTTCTTGTTCCAAATATTTTCCAAGTTTTTTTTTTTTTTTTCCTTCGAGAAAATTCCAACTTTTGGTTCTTTTCTTTCTTGTCTATACTCTATTATCCGCTGGAACATGAATGCCTATGTGATAGATTTTAATTTCTTATGTTATACACTTTAATCTCCTTACAATTATCTGATCCGACAGACCATAACCCCAGTCCAGAATATAGTCGGGTTTATTCTATGCTAGTATAGTCTTATACTCGGGGTATAAGTTCGACCAAGCTAGTTATAATAGCAACAGACAACCGTAAGTTCTATTCTACCAGTTTCTTTCTTCGTATTTCTCGACTGTGGAACTCTCTTCCGGTTTTTTTTGCTTCCATATCCCCTACGATATTCAAGAATTTATATGCAACATCAATAGCCATATTTTGTTTGCCTAAACAAATTCTTTTATTCACTTTCCCTCCACTAACTATATTCTTAGGTTTTTTTCCTTTTCAGTAACACATTGCGTCTTAGTGGCATTATTGCCTTGTTTTGTCGTAGAATTTTCTTCTCCGTTTTTATTCTTCCAGATCTTCTCTTGACAGATTTTTGAATACAGATGATTGTTTTATATTCTACAATCACTTCCACTTACTTTTCCTTCATTTTATTACTTCTAGCATTTATGCGTTTCCAGCTTTATGCTTCTCGACACTTGTTCACTTCTTAATATTCATTTTCCTTCCTTTCACTATCTTTTTCTTCTTCCTATTATCACTCTTCTTTTCCTACTATACACTTCTCTTCTTCTTTGTCATTTTTATTCTCTTCGTCCCGCCACCTTCGACGAGCTTTAGCTACGAGGAAGGATCTACGGGATACTGTTGACCTGACAGCCAAACTTTACAAACGTTTGATCAATGACAGAACTCAGCCATAAATCGGGCCAGTCTGCCGCTGACACGCTTACTACGACAGAGGAATGTAAATCTTTCCATTGGCATACAACAGAAACTTCATTGATCAATGTAGAGGCAATGGTAAAATGAAGAAATAGAAAGATGGCGACAGTAAAGATGAAGGGGATGGCAGAATGCGGTCATTTGAAAGGGGTAGGAAGGTTATATTCCAGCGATGGTGGGGTTAGATATTCTTCAAAAGTTTACATTTCATTTACGCTTGAAAAGAATGTCCAGAAATGTACAAGAAGTATTCATTAACAACGAAAACGCTTGTTTATGTATTTAATATTCTAAAACAAAAGTAAACACGAAAAGTGTCGTTGTTTCTCAGAATATTTCGACATTAATTCATATCATATAGAGAAAAAAAAACATGAATGTTAGACATTTATGAAGAAACAATGTACAAGAATTCCTTGCAAAATTACTATTTTCTTTTAAAATATATACAATGTTTTTTTATTAAATCTCAATTAACGATATACAAATAAGGACAAACACACAGACACACAAACACACACACGCAGAAATATATATTCGCAAACATAGCGGTTTGCATCATGGCTAAGGCAGTTGCGTATTACATGATGTTACTAGTAAATTCCACAAAAATCCGAATGCTAATTTTCAATACAGGCAAGCTCTCCGAACTCGGGTGATTCTGGGATCAGTTTTTCTTTTTCTTCTTCTTCTTCTTGGTTTATGCCCCTTCAAGATGTGAGTTATGGTACTCCACAGTTTCCAGTCTCTTATTGCCCTCACCAATAATCGACACTTTCCCATACCTAAAAAATCAGCATCTTCTACCAAGTAATCTCAAGAAATAGAACTCAAAATAAGGCAGTCCAAATCAGAAAAAAAGCCTTTCCAAAAGTTTGATCTTGAATTGGGGAAAAAAGCAGTGACGGTACATATCCTGGATCCATTACAAAAAAAGATCTAGGATCAGATGTAATTAGTCAGTATCAAACACTTTAAAAATATTTCGGTGTATGGATCAGTTATAACAAATTTAATATAGGTAATAAAGAAATATATAAGGAACACAGACCTAAATATAGTTTTGCTCAACACTAAATTGCTACAAAACCAAGACTCGAAAACTCAAAACCGGAAAACTTGAATGATGTTCTAAAATAACATCGTCAAATCGAGACTTTCATATAGTTGATTCATGGCGTCAAACCCGTTCAGAAATATCTAAACGGTAAGCTGTATACAACTGCTATGAACAATGGTTAAAAAGCTAGTAAAATGATCGGATCTTGGTCAAGAGTAAAAATAAAAACACTGTTTTAGATCTTTTCCAAGGGTATATACTTTTTTTTCCATCTGTTGTCAGTATATATATAACTTTTTTGATTTAACTCTAAGCGTATATTTTTTCAATATATCTCCAATATATCTATCATATCTCGATCTGTCTCCAAGTGTATTCATCATATCTCGATCTGTCCCCAAGTGTATTCATCATATCTTGATTTGTCTCAAAGTGTATCTATCATATTTCGATCTGTCTCCACAAATATATATATATATATATATATATATATATATATATGTATGTGTGTGTGTGTGTGTGTGTGTGTGTGTCTGTGTGTTTTATAATTTGTCTCCAAGTGTATTTATCTTATCTTTGAGTGTATATAAAATTTCCAAGGGCATACATCTTTTTCGAATGTCTCCAAATGTATGTGCATTCTTTTGATCTGTTTCTAAGTGTGTATATGATTTCTCGATATGTCTCCAAGTATATTTTTTCCTTTGATATGTACTCCAGTGAATATGGTTATATAATTTTCTATAGAAATAATCTATGTTATTATCTATGTCGAAATAAAACCCAGACATAATACTTGAGAACAATTAGTAAGTCAGTGACCGAAATTATGAATTATGAGAATAAAAGACACTACCACTCAGTTGTCTACAAAATACATCCTAAAATGTCATCAACATACAATTCTCAGTAATAAAATTCAAATTAGAAGGAAAAAAAAAAACAAGAAAGGAAAGCGAATAAAGCAGATTGAAGTGACACTTTGCGTGGCCGAGCGGTCGAAATCATTGCAGATTAAATGGATTTCGTTATTCGTTACGGCCTGAAATAGTAAATTCTTTACATTATTTATTTGATGTAATGGTAAACACAGAAATACGTCTACGTTGTGTGTGTTCGTGCGCTCGTGTGTGTGTGTGTGTCTGTGTGTGCGGGCTCGCGCGTGTTTTGTTTGGTTACTTGGACTTGGTGTAATGGCGAGCACACTCATCCCGCTACATCATTTAAATAGAGTAGTGAGTTCGTTCCTCAATTGGTGCTTCGTAATTTCTGCACCATACCATATCTTAGCTATATTCACTAAATATATATATATATATATATATATATATATATATATATATATATATATATATATATATATATTTATGTATTTAATTTTCATTTAGGCAAGTATGATCGAAGATCTTTACGTTTTTTTTTCTCCAGTTTTATTATTTCCTGTTAAAATTGAACTTAAATTTCCCAATATCTTCTGGAGCCATTTCGGCTTTTAATCTATCCTTATATCCTTCTTTCTCTCTCTGTCTCACTCTGTCTCTCAATATATATATATATATATATATATATATATATATATATATATATATATATATATAACCATCTGAAGATCGGGAGAGCGTGAAACTTCAGTAACGTCTTCAGCTGCCATTCATTGAATGTTGATGTTGTAAAGCGTTTTTTTCTCTTAGTCTATCTTTTTCTCTTTATTCGGTTTTTTTTCTTGACTTACGTATCAGACAGTCCGGCAAATTGTTTGCTGGTAGCACTTACACTGGTTGGTGTTTTTTTTTGTGTATATATATATATATATATATATATATATATATATATATATATATATATATATATATAGATATAGATATATAAAGAGAGAGAAATATAGAGAGGGAAAGAAAGAGATATGATAAAATTATAGTTTTAATTTATATTATTTTTATGTGTTATATTTATTAGGAGACAGCGTGTATGAAAATATAAAAAATGTAACTTGAGGTCAATACACATCGTTGACAGTCTGTTTCATGCTTCGGCGCAATCTTCATTATATACATATGTTTAAAATCGTATATGATAAAAAGTGCTCAATATCAAATTAGAGAATTCATAACATTTGGGCAATTTAATATCCTAAAATAATAAAATGATAAATGGGACGATGAGTCTTTGGTGGTCGAAAGCGCGATAGTTTTCTCTTTAGCGTTTTATTATATATATATATATATATATATATATATATATAT